ACTCGCTTAACAATTGGTAAGACTGCATTAACAGGAGCACACACTAAGGCTGTATGTTGTGAAAATGGGTGTTGTATGCCATTTATTTAAAACACTTATTTTATTTTTATATAAATGAATAGCGTAGATTTAAAAATTTTAATTGATGATTTAGTATTTAATCAAAATTTTCTTACTTATTATGATTTAAAAGCATATCTCCAAAAATATAATAACAATATAACGGGTGATGATATGGAATATTATTATCCATATTATAAAAATGAAATTTTGAAATATCATAATAAAATAATTTCTGAAATTAAAGACAAAATTAAAAATAATGAATATTCAAAGGGAAAAACTAAATCACAACTTAAACAGTTGAAAGATTTCAAAAATAAAGTATTAACAAAGAAGAAGATATTGATGAATTATATAAATTATATAATCCTGAGCACAAAAACCAAAGGAACAAAAACAAAAGGTGCAAAACACCCAGGTTCAGCAGCTCATAAATGATGCACAAGCTTTAATTTATGATTCATTAGTTAAACCACATTCAGCCCGACTTTTAAATGAAGATCAACTTTTGGAATTCATCCTTCAACATAAACTCGAAGCGGGAAAGTATATCAAACCTTTATATACAGCATATTTAAAACAAATGAATAGAATACATCCAGAATTAATGAAGGGGGGAATGAAATCCAAAATCAAAGCAGATAAAATTAAACCACTTGCAACACCAAAACCTCCAACAGTAGTACTCTCCTCCTCCTTCAGTTAATCCTTCATCATTCACTTTATTATATCCATTTCAAACATTAAAGAAACAAAAAGATTTTAAAAAGGGTTTCAAGATATTAAATAAACCAATTGACCCGAAAATTCAACCATTAAAAGAAAAATTTAGTCGTCCATCATTTGCACCATACCATATTCATACGAAATCGATCATCTGGAATATTCAAAAGGAAATATTACTTATTTATTTGCCATTAACATTAACACTAGATATTTATATTGCATTCCGGTGAAAGGGAAAACAGAACAGGAAACAAGAAGAGCTATACAATACTTACTAGATCATGAAAGAGTAGATAATATCAGGGGTGATGGTGATAAAGGATTTCAGGCAGTTATGACTCATTATTTCCCACAAATTAATTTTTACTTCTCATCCTCTCCATATACGTTTCATAATAAAATAGTTGATGCGGTAATGAGAACTCTTAGAGATGCGTTAGGGGTTAACGGTCAGATATACTGGGATGGAAATCATGACTCCATCATACAGCAGTTAGTATATTATTACAATAATACATGGCATAGAACTATTAACATGAAACCAGTGGAAATGAAAAATGATATTTCAAAAGAATGGGAATATATTAGAAAGCAAATGGAAAGGTTGAATGATGTTAAACGTGAACAAATTAATTCGGGGCTCATGAATTTTAAACAAGGGGATAAAGTTTTGATTCATCTCGATTATGGAAAAACTGATAAATCAATGACAAAAAGAAGACGAAGATTTGACACAATAGCTGAATTTGTTAGATATATTAACGGCAATGTATTAGTTGAAGTTGACAATAAATTAATAGAAATTCCGATTTATTTTATTACTCCATTATATTTAAATAATATTTAATTTTTTTATTTCGTAAGAAATGAGTGACAACAAAGCAGTCAAGAGTCCAGACGATGAATATAAAAAGAAACTAAACAGAATTAAATCAAAAATATGTTATTACAAAAAGAAGCCGCAATGTGGTGGGGTTGAAAACGATAAAGAAATAATCGAAAAATTAGAAACTTGCCGTTCAATCCTTAAACTGAGTGAAGCAAAAATAAAAGAATTTAATAGAATAAATAAATTGATTGGAAGAGATGAATTTAATAAAGATGAATTTTTAAACTCAATCCAAATTTAATTTTTATTCCTCTTCGACAACATCTCTCTTTCCATCATTACTGCATAACCGCATTTTCTCAGTTTTAGTGGTTTGTTATTTTTAGCAAGTTCTCGCATCATTTTTATCATTTCCTCCCTTGTTATGATTCGTGGTAAATTTTGAGCTTGTGGGGTATTCATTTATGATAAAATAAAAATTTGATTATCGTTATTTTATCATGAATTATTTTTGAAGAACTGTAGGTGCTACCATGTTGTCATGTTGACGACATGACATTGTGTCAACAACACGAGAGGAAGGCAGTTATGAATTATTTTTGAAGAACTGTAGGTGCTACCATGTTACCATGTGCTACCAGGTCAACTAACTTCTTTTAAAAAATGAGACAACATGACATTTAGACAACAACATAGGAGGAAGGCAGTTATGAATTATTTTTGAAGAACTGTAGGTGCTACCATGTTGTCATGTTGACGACATGACATTGTGTCAACAACACGAGAGGAAGGCAGTTATGAATTATTTTTGAAGAACTGTAGGTGCTACCATGTTACCATGTGCTACCAGGTCAACTAACTTCTTTTAAAAAATGAGACAACATGACATTTAGACAACAACCATAGGAGGAAGGCAGTTATGAATTATTTTTGAAGAACTGTAGGTGCTACCATGTTGTCATGTTGACGACATGACATTGTGGTCAACAACACGAGAGGAAGGCAGTTATGAATTATTTTTGAAGAACTGTAGGTGCTACCATGTTACCATGTGCTACCAGGTCAACTAACTTCTTTTAAAAAATGAGACAACATGACATTTAGACAAAACAACATAGGAGGAAGGCAGTTATGAATTATTTTTGAAGAACTGTAGGTGCTACCATGTTGTCATGTTGACGACATGACATTGTGTCAACAACACGAGAGGAAGGCAGTTATGAATTATTTTTGAAGAACTGTAGGTGCTACCATGTTACCATGTGCTACCAGGTCAACTAACTTCTTTTAAAAATGAGACAACATGACATTTAGACAACAACATAGGAAATTTGATACAGCCCAAAATAAGGTTAGTTTTAAAATTATTTTTATTTTTTTTTCCTATATAAATGACAGCAACAAACAGCAACAGCACCTATATCGTTTCTGATGAAAAAGTTATTGATTCATTAGTTGAGGAATTAGTTGTGGCAGAAACTAAAACCCTCAACGAAAGAATTGGTGAAAACAAGATTGATTTACATAACTACCTCAAACACGATGGAGGAAGAGGAAGGAAAACTGGTATGGCTTTATTAGTAAATAAAATTTCAAATTTAACGATTATAGATGTTGATATCAATAAATCGTACAATGATGAACTTAAAGAAACAGTTAGAAAAGACATTTTATCAAAACTTTCGGATAAAGATGTTATCGTTAAAACCGCTTCAGGAGGTCTTCACATTTATTGCAACACTAATTTCTTCTATTCAACCTCGAACAGAATGATTAAATGTTATTCCTGCAATGATTATGATATCGATATCATGACTTCAATGGATGATTCAAAGCGTTCATTAGTGGTTATGGCTGATTCAAGAGTTCGCAAGAATGCATCAGAACCAATCAATACATACTCATTCATTCGTGGAAGTTATGATTCAACATTAACCAGAACAGTGAATGATATATTAAATGATTTGAATATTAAGGTAAGAGTTGAACAGAAGAACGAAGAAATAAAGACTATCATGAATGAAAACAAAGATGTAAACATTGACGATAAACTTGCCCAGAGCATAGTTGATGGCATCAGTGATTTTGAAGTACATAATGACGGTGGAAACATGAATTTAGAAAAAGAAGTTACATTATTCACACTGTTTCAAGCTATTAATTCGTTACCTAATCATTTAATTAATGAAGCATACGATAACGTTTATAACTTCTGCAGTTTAACAGAAAATGCAAAAAGTAATTTTGAAAAAGCACGTGATAGATATGCACATTTAATGACTTCTCCATTTGTTTTGGTAAAGATTCTAAAACTTTATCAAAAGGAATATTATGATGAATATGTTTTACCTTTATTACGTAAGCCAAAAATAACATTTGATATAAAACTTGATGACTCGTTTTTGATAACAGATATTAGACGTAAAGCTGAAAATCATCAGTATAAAAACAGTTCTGAAGTAATTGAGGATTTATCACGTGTCATTCGTTTTGTAGATTGTGGAAACAAATACTTCATTCAAAAAGACTATAATATTCATGATAAAATGAATCAAATATCATTCGTTCTTCAATCAAACATGAAAGAGTCACTCAAAATGATTAAATTATTTAAAGAAGAAGGTAAAACAAAACAGCATGGGACGTACTATTAAATCAATTGTCTTCATTAACCGTTAAGGGTGTTTGCTTTAAATCTGATTCCCCAGATGTTTTCTCAACGTTTCAAGGTTATAAATACAACATTCTCGAAAAACAGATTACTCAAAAATTGAGATGTTTATGAATTTCATTAATGAAGCCATTTGTGATAATAACGATGAAGTGTATAAATATCTACTCGGCTGGATTGCATCAATGATTCAACATCCTGGAATCAAGAATGAAACAGCAATTATTTTGAAAGGACTTCAGGGAACAGGTAAAAACAGATTCACAGACATTATTTCTGAACTTCTCGCTGGTTATTCATGCAAAAACATTACTGAAATAAGTGAGTTAACGGGTAATTTCAACTCAGTAGTTGAAAATAAAATGTTTCTTGTACTTAATGAACTCAAGAATGTTGGTGAAGACAGACTCGCAAACTTCAACGCTTTGAAATCAATTATAACGGATAATGAGATTAGAATTAATGAAAAGAATCAACCCAGAAGAACTGCTCAGAATGTTGCCAATTTCATTTTCGTAACTAATAACGTTACCCTGTCAAAATTGAAGTTGGAGACAGAAGATACGTAGTTTTAAGGGTTAATGGTAAATTCAAGGTCAATTTGATTACTTCAAGAATTTAATGGATTCATGCACTAAGGAATTTTATGATAATTTACTGACGTATTTTATCAATTACGACCTTTCATCATTTAATGTACGAATCATACCGATGACTGAAGCCAAACAAGATTTAATTGAATTATCAACAAATCCTTTAGATGTATGGATAAATACACATTATGATGAATTGTGTGCAGGTATGACGTGTAAAAATGCTCTATTCTGCAAACCATCAGACATGAAAGACAAGAATTTTCAAATGAGTATTAAGGATAAATGTGATAGGAAACATAGAAGAATAGACGATAAACAAACATGGTGTTATGTTTTGAAAGAAGAAATGAAAGGATTATATAAACAGGTTGAACTAAACGATAATGAGGATTCATTTACTGACGATGAAATACCTGTAAATGAAGCTTTATAAAGTATGATTTGAATTTATTTTTGCCTTCCTCCTATGTTGTTGTCTAAATGTCATGTTGTCTCATTTTTTAAAAGAAGGTAGTTTACCTGGTAGCACATGGTAACATGGTAGCACCTACAGTTCTTCAAAAATAATTAATTATTGAATAACCGGAAACCATTAACGTAAACATTATTTTTGGATCATTTACACTCATTAACGATGAAGAAGTCATGACAAAACATTTACACTCATGTTTGACAAAACATTTACACTCATGTTTGACAAAACATTTACGATGAAATCATCATGACAAAACATTAACGCTCATGTTTGACAAAACATTTACACTCATGTTTGACAAAACATTTACGTAAACATTTATTTCCTATGTTGTTGTCTAAATGTCATGTTGTCTCATTTTTTAAAAGAAGTTAGTTGACCTGGTAGCACATGGTAACATGGTAGCACCTACAGTTCTTCAAAAATAATTCATAAATGCCTTCCTCCTGTGTTGTTGTCTAAATGTCATGTTGTCTCATTTTTTAAAAGAAGTTAGTTTACCTGGTAGCACATGGTAACATGGTAGCACCTACAGTTCTTCAAAAATAATTCATAAATGCCTTCCTCCTGTGTTGTTGTCTAAATGTCATGTTGTCTCATTTTTTAAAAGAAGTTAGTTTACCTGGTAGCACATGGTAACATGGTAGCACCTACAGTTCTTCAAAAATAATTCATATGCCTTCCTCCTGTGTTGTTGTCTAAATGTCATGTTGTCTCATTTTTTAAAAGAAGTTACCTGGTAGCACATGGTACCCCCTCATTTATTCAAAAATTCTGTAATTTCATTAATGAGGTATGCTGAATTGGAGCTCAGGACTTTCAATCCGTCCGAAACCATGCATAAACTGTCATATAAGGCGGCATGTAATCTTTACTCTGTCCCGTCGTTTGTGTATATCCTGAAACATTATGTGTATGATTACCTGAACCCTGTGTATCGTTCCAGTAACAATTAATAGCAAATTTAACGTCATCTTTAACATCATATCCTTTACCTTTTGTCATTCCTGACCAATCCCAATATCTATGCTTATGCCATCCTGCTTCGGTTGTGTTTAAATTAACGTAATGACTGTGAGCAGGTAAATTTTCACCCGTAATTGTTTTACGTCCACCGGTTTGTTTTGATGAGTTTGTACAATATAAAAAACGATCGGTTATCTGCTGCCATGTACCAAATCCAAATAATGTTGATGGATTTGTTGAATTCATTGATGTATATATTGAACCAATGGGGTAAATCATCTCAAACATTGTATTTAATCAGTATTAACCCATTCCTTATCTGCTTTCTTCTTTAACTCAGTATTAACCCATTCCTTATCTGCTTTCTTCTTTAACTCAGTATTAACCCATTCCTTATCTGCTTTCTTCTAACTCAGTATTAACCCATTCCTTATCTGCTTTCTTCTTTAATCCATTATGAATATTGAATTTATTATATAATATTGAAATCGTGTAAGAAGTTAAAATTGGTATTGTCATCAATATTAACATATTATTTTTGAAAATTGCTTTTTTAACATCTTGAAATTTTGTGATTTCAGACCAATTTTTTCCATCACTACTGATATTTACTAAATCACCACATCCAAAAGCAATGAAATACCCATCAATATAAAACAAATTTGTAAATCTATAATTTCGAGTAAATTTTGGAGTGAATGAATAAACCAATTCCCAATTTGGTGTTTTCTCTGGATCCTGTGAAAAATCTTGTGATAAATAAATATGTCTGTTATAACTTACAGGATATGAATACAACATACTACCTGAAACAAGAACACAAACATTTGAAGCATAACATAAAGCTTCAATGTCTCCATCAGCTTGAAAAATTTGTTCAAAACGACCAAATGGTATTGAATATGATCTATAAATTTTATCATTTTGTAGGATAAAACACATGTTGTTAATGTAATACCATTTACTTGTATAATCAATTTTCAAATCTGATGACATCATACTAAACATATAATAATTTATCCCATCCTCACTAATGAAAATTTGATTGACTTCATAAATTAGTACCCATTTATTATTAACACATCTAATAGGATTATTTGGATATTTAAATTTAACATCTTGATTTAAATTACATTTGAACCATTGGATACAATCGAATGAATAACAAGGGCAAAAATCATCTCCAACCGTTATCATTCCCATAAATTTGCCGTTATTATATTCAACATAAAAAATTCTTGGATTAATGATTGGCTCTCGTGTATCAGGATTCAAAACGGATGGAGTAAATGATTCATAGTTTTTAAAATCATTTGTTTTAAAATAATAAAGCACTCCGCCTGTATAAAATAAATACATGGTCACTCCATCGAAACATAACCATTCAATATCTTCAAATGTTTTATCTGATGATTTCATAAAATTTAAAAATGGTGGGGTAAAATAGACCTCCGATTGTTTTATTTCTTCATTAACAAATGATATATCAGCTTTCTTTGCTAACTCAGTATCAACGTATTCCTTATCTGCCTTCTTATTTAACTCATCGTTAACATAAGTTTTATCTGCTTTAAGGTCTAAACATCCTGAAACCCATCCTGTATCAGCTTTAGTTTTTAAAATCTTTGATGTCCGTTCATGATACCATTCAACCCTTTCTATAATTTCATTATCTTTTTCATCCACATATTCCTTATCTGCCTTCTTCACTAACGCACTAGCCACATATGCTAACTCATCGTTAACATATGTTTTATCTGCTTCTTCATTATGTCATTTAGGAAACCTTTTATGAATTCCTCATTTAAATTAAATCTTCCAATCTTCAAAACTTTAGGAAATGCATTTAATGCGTAATATCTTGTTCTTCTGGTGGAATTGATGTTATATCATCCGTTATACCTTTAATTTTTGAATTCATAAATAAAATTTCTTTTATATTTGATATCACCGCACCACCTTTGCAAACGAATTCAAAATGGTCATTTTTCAATACTATCTCCAAATCTCCATATTTCAACCTTTGCGTTTGTTCTGCCGTCTTTGAATTATATGCATATGTGGCGTATGTAATGGTCTGTGGTTGCTGTTGTTTAATCATTTATTACGATTTAAAAATAAATATTTAATCCGTTATCTCATCAGCTATTTTTTCTATTTGAAATTGCCATAATATTTCATTCATGAATTCTAAATCACAATCAAATAGGTCAGTTATTCTAAATTTAATATTTGATAAATCTTTTGAATGAAGAATAAATGAATTCCCGGATAATTGAAATGGATATGATAAAGAAAATATGTTTAAGTTGATGGATAAAATGTTTTGTATTGATGGGTAAGAGTTAGGGTCTAATGTTTGATGTGAAAATCTCATTGGGGTATTAACTTTATCACATTTGATTAAAATGAAATTGGAACCAGTGTCAGAATACAAAACATCCCCAGCATCTTTTTCAAAATTTAATATCCCAACAATGAACGAAGACGAGGAGTACAAAATTTAATTTTCAGCGGAAATTTAATAAGGTTATTTATTTCATCAAGTTCAAAAAGTTTATCGGGTTTTGATTTAAAATTTTCTTCATACCATACGATAAATGATTCATTTAAATAACTTAAAATTGTGTTAATATCCCCTCACTATCACATTATTTATATACATATCATACGTTTTTTCATGGTCATCTTTAATAAATGATATATAATCTGAAGGGTCTAAAAGAATGGGATTAAATTTACCACTCACAGAAACGAGAGTAACATTATAAATTCCACTAACTGTTAAATTTAATTCACAACTATTATTCGAAATAATATTGATAATTGACATTTTTATTACGATTAAAAATATGGTAAAGCGTTATTTTCCAGTGATAAATAAAACTAGAATAAGATTACCTCAAGAATTCATAAATTCAACGAATAAGAAATTCATTCATGTTATAAATTTTAGTGTTTTCAGAAAATATGAGTCGATGTCATATTCATCATCAGGTTATATTTCACTTCATTCAAATTTAGTTCAATCAAACCCATATAATGACCATTTCATAAGATTTTCAGATGGTATTAAAAATGTAATTGATAGATTAAAATATGAACAGATTGACAATATCGAATTTTTGGAATTTTGGTTTAAATATCCCGATGGAAAAAAGATTGAAGTTAAAGATAAAGCAGATACTATAACAAAAACAATTACAATGACTGATCCAGATAGTGGGGAACAAAAAGAAATAAAACAAACGATAGAAACTGGTGAAAGGTCAATTATTATTGATTATGATTCAAAGGATTATTATTCGTTAATGTTAATGCTTGAATATTAAATAGCCTTAACAAAGAATTTTTCAAGTGATATTTTATATTCATCAACTATTTTATTATAAATATCATTATATGTTAAATGAAGTTCAGTTGTTGTTCCGTTCTTTGATATCTTAATTGTGCTAATATCCTTTATAGGATTTATTTTTGCAACTGTTCCGCAGCATGAAACCTCATCATCTATGAAAAATTGAATCTTACGTCTGAATCTTGAACATCACAAAGAATGGCGATAATGTGAATTAATGATTCATAAGGTAAAATAATTAAACCGATTGGTCAATTAAATTTATTATTGAATCATAATTATCAGTTATGATATCGCGATATATTTTCATTAATTCAGAATTAATGTCTATTTTATATGGGTTATCAAGTGGTGCTGGGTATGTTGGATAAGTGGGAATTTCAACAGGTTCTTTACCTGGTTCAGCTAAAATGATTGGGTCTCCATCTTCTTTATTTTGCTCCTCCTCCTTTTTCGGTAAGTCACGAGTTAATAAATTTGGTTGAGTTGCTGACCTTGTTAATTCAGGACTAACATTAACTTTAACATTTTGAATAATTCGTGATTTATCATCATTTACATTATAACCAACCGTAATCTCTGCTTTTGCGTTTGTGTTCTTTTGACTTGTGAAACGTCTTCTCATTTATAATTG